GGACGTGGGCAGTGAGACCTCTCAGGCCCGGGGCATCTTAGTGTACTGGGATTGCTTCTGGACGTGGGCAGTGAGACCTCTCAGGCCCAGCTCCAAGCAGTAGGCCCTAGTGAAGTCTACCCTGCAATGCTTGGCAGCCTGCTTCAAAGTAAACCCACCTCCAGCACAGTCTATAATACACTGCTGGTGTTCTTAAGAGAACAGGAAGGAGGAAGGATGCAGCTCCAATCTCCATGCCCAGTTTAGAAGTGTTTCTTCTGGGGCTTCATCTGGTGGTCATAACTTTTTGAGAACTTTGACAACTTGTGAGAAGCAGGAAGATCTCTACGTGGGGCCAGGAGCTCCCATGATCATTGAGATCCACAGCGTACTCCCGACCACCAGCTAACACCCAGGATTCCCTGAGATTCCAGAATCCCAGTTCAGACCATCTAACTCCATACCAGTCATAGAAAGGAGAGGGGGCTGGAAACCACTAAGATAGAAGGGAGTTTAGATGTCAGTGGGCAGTAAATTAACCACCACAAAGGCCCTACTCAAAGGGTTGAACTTGAGAGATGGCTGTGAGATATCCCCCCCCCAACACCCCTAGTCTCCTCCAAGAGGATTTGGGGTAGCCAATGGAGAAAGGATGAGAAGAGTCAATAACAAGAGGAGAAAAAGACTCAGTTAGTCACAGTGGTGAAATGGGGTGCGGGGCAGGTGGATGAAGTGATGAAAAAGCGTCTTCAGTTCTCCTTAACTGGCACAACCTGCCACCTAGCTCCCTATGAGACCCCTGAAAGTCACCCTTGATTCCTCTCATCTTCCCCCTAACACACACACACACACACACACACACACACACACACACACATCCAGACATCAAGTCCTGTCAGTTTTACTTGGTAAAAGTCATTTGAATCCATCCACTTTCTCCATTCCCACCGCCCCTGCCCTGGTTCAGGCCACAGCCCCTTTGATCTAAATCTTGAAACAGAATCTGCCAAATGGTCTCTGCTTCAATGCTTACCTTCCCCGGGCCTTTCTCCACCCAACAATCAGTTCAAACTTCAGAAATCGGACAAATCTGACTGTGTCACACCCCTGTTCAGAGCCTCCCCGGGGCTTCTCTCGCCCTGAACAGATGCAGGTCTCTTCAGATGGCTGACCAGGTGTCTTGTCTTCCTCTCTCTTCCATTTTCCTTGAACTTCAACCAGACAGTGCTACTTTGGGTTTCCTAAACGTGCCCTTCTCTTTTGCCTCTGTGCTGCGGGGTGTGCTCTTCCCTCTCTCCTGCCCCTCTCCTCCCCCAGATAATTCTGACTCATCCTCTGAAGGATGGTCACTTCTTCTGGAAGCCTTCTCCTCCTCCACCCTACCCTCACCCATGGCACTGCCTTAGCCTCGGTGTCTGTTTCCCCAACTAGAAGAAAGATTCCTCGGGACAGGGACTCTATCTTATCAAGATCTCAGTATCACCTATTACTTTACACAGTGCCTGGCTCTGGGAGAGATGGGAACCTGGAAAAATAAGCTTGATGAAATGGGGTGATAGCCTTGGGGGAAGAAAAGAAGGAAAAATAGAAGAGAGAAGCCAACCAAAAGATAGGAAAGGAGGCTTTTAGGTGAATGAGAGGTAATGATATGAAAAATATAAGCAGGGCAACCAACAGGAAAGGGGAGAGAGGAGCTGTTGGTGATGGAGAGTAGGAATAACCAGCGGTGAGAAGAGCCTAAGAACCCTGAAAAGAGGGAAGGTCAGCGAGGAAGAGGGGAGAGAAGAGAGCCAGTGGGGAGAGAGGAGGAGAGGGCCAATGGGAAGAAAGAGAAAGAGAGGATAGAGCCAATGGGGAGAGAGGAGGAGAGCGCACCCAGGGACACGGGGAAGCCCTAACGAGGTGTGAAGAGTCTATACACGCGGGGCTTGAGGGCTTGAAAGAAGCAGTGAAAGGCTGGGTGGGCCAGTCAGCCCGCGTCTGTGTGTGGGCGGTGACCCCAAACCCTGAGCCCATCCTCTCCTTCCTCAGGTGTCCCCACTCTTCGGCACCATCTACGACGCGGTCTTCCTGCTGGCGGGGGGCGTGGCGCGGGCGCGGGCGGCCGCAGGGGGCGGCCAGGTGTCCGCAGAGGCGGTGGCCCGCCACATGCAAGATGCCCAGGTGCCCGGCTTCTGCGGGGCCCTGGGAGGAGCCGAGGAGCCCCCATTCGTGCTGCTGGACACGGATGCAGCGGGGGACCGGCTCTTCGCCACCTACATGCTGGACCCCACCCGGGGCTCCCTCCGCTCGGCTGGGACCCCGGTGCATTTCCCTAGAGGCAGAGGAGCACCTGGGCCCGACCCGTCGTGCTGGTTCGAGCCAGACATCATCTGCAACGGAGGTGAGAGCGAGCACCCCAGCCCCCACTGGGACAGTCAGCGCGGACCCTCCACCAACTGGTGAAAGAGAGTGAACTCTCGCCCTGTAACTCCTTCCACGTCCTCCTCAGCCCCCTGGCTTGTGCGGACCCTCTCTCTTGCCAAGCCCCCAAAGCCCTCTTGGAACTTTTCTAGCATCCCCAGAGGCTCCCCTCTGCAGAACCCATAGCCTTTCCCTAGACCTCGTTCTGGGCTCCCGTCCACCTTTGCTAGAGCCTCCAGGATTTGACATGACTGCATACCTCGATAGAGAGGGCGCCTCCCCCTGGCCGCGGGGCCCTCAGCGTTCCTCCTCTCACTGCCTCTCCAGGAGTGGAGCACCGCCTCGTCTTTATCGGCTTCCTCCTGGTGGTTGGGATGGGGCTGATGGGGGCCTTCCTGGCCCATTATGTGAGGTGAGTATGGGAGTGAGGCGGGTAGGAGATGAGCTTGGCTCTCCATCTCCCAGAATTGCATCTGGGCAGCAAGGACAGCAGGCTGAGCCCGCTCAAGAGTGGAAAAAGGGAGCGCTGGGGGAGAGGCGGTGCCCCAAGGGGTGGCCGGCCAGATGATGTTTGGTTTGGGGATGGCTGCTCTTCCCTGAGCCAACGCTATCCCCTACCTGCCTCCTCTCAGGGACTTTGGTCCCCTTTGAGCAGATGACATCCTTTCCCTCCCAGGCATCGGTTACTTCACATCCAAATGGTCTCTGGCCCCAACAAGATCATCCTGACTCTGGACGATATCACCTTTCTCCACCCGCAAGGGGGCAGCACGCGAAAGGTGGGGGAAGCAGGGAGGCAAGGGATCTCTGGCAGGGAGCCCGCTCTCCAAGAGTCCTTCCGTGTATATCTGTTCCCCTGCCTGGGCCAGCCCTCACCTCAGCCCCCACCTGGGAAGGCCTCCTTTCTGGCCTGGCTCCCTCTCAGGTCTGAGTTCTGGGGGTGTGCAATGAGAGTAAGAGCTCCTGTCCCTGCTGCTTCCCTGGGGCAGCGTGAAGCTCCGAGAAAACCAACTTGTTTGTTTTGTAAACTGTAAAGTGCAGTGCAATTGGGAAGTAATGTCATTATCACCTTCCCTAATTAAGAGTTCTTCCCCTCCTCTCTGTAATCCCCAGAACTCAGCCTGACCTCAACCCAGGACTCTAACCCTGCAGTATATTTTGATCCCTTGCATTGACCTCTGCCCTCCAGGTGGTCCAGGGGAGCCGAACGAGTCTGGCCGCCCGCAGCATGTCAGACGTTCGCAGCGTCCCCAGCCAGCCCTCGGATAGCTCCAACATTGGTCTCTTTGAGGTGAGCCTTACCCCGGCCAGGCCCGGCTCTATTCCTGGAGTTGTGTTATATCTTGCAGGCTCCAGAAAATGGTGATAGGAGCCCAGAATGGGCTCTAGGAAGAGGTCATGGGTTCCCCCAAAGGGGAGCATCTGGGAATCCTTCCTGCCCCAGGATTCCGCCTTAGCCTTTATCCAGATGCGTGCTCCTCAAAGGCTAATCCCAGTGGCTCAGAGGCTGGAGGCCTGCCCGGGGGGTGGGGGGCGGGGCGGGGAGGATGTACTGGGACCATGCAGCCCGGTGTGGCCCACTGAAGCCATCCTCTGCCCTGTCCCTTCAGTGATCCAAGCCTTCAGGTTACCAGAGGATATGCGCCTCCTTGGAAAGGTTGGGGCAGAGGGGCACCTGGGATGTGGTCTCATGGTCATAAAAAGGACATTTCCAGGACATGGATTGTTCGGGAGAGTTTCCAGACAGGGCTGTCCCCAACTCAAGACAGACCCAAGTCTTTGCCCCACCCAGCATTGCCACCCAGTTCAGCTCAAACTCAGGAACAACAAGCCTTAGAGGGGGAAAAAGAAAGGCACAAAAGCGCATTAGGATCTTAACTGTGGGTCAGCCAATCTGAACTTGGTGGTATGGGGGCGAAATTGTGAACAGACTCAGAGAGAGCTGTGGGAACTCAGCTAATTAGGAGGGTGGGATGGAGATTTAGACTTCCCAAGCGTCAGGTCACACAGAGAATGCAGAGGCTCCTACCCCGTCAGCTGCGTCCCCGTGAACCAGCCCGACCAACAGCTGAGGACAGGGCGGCTCAGAGCCTGGAGGGGAACTGCCTGTCCTTTGCAGTTTGTCTGTAATAAAAAGCCTGATCTACCCAGACTCCTGACTCCCAGCACAGTGCTCTCTCATGGCAACAGAGGGTGCCGAGGGCTGTGGTCACAGCGACATGTGTGGTGCTAATGGCTTGCTTAGTAAGGCTGTTGGCAAGCGCATCTGAGGGGGTGAGGACAGCCATGTAAGGGGGGGCTCCCTCCCGGCTAGCTGTGAAGTGGACCCGCAGACCTCAAGCTCCTTGCTCCTGACGCTCTGTGTCACAGGGAAGATGTATCTGGGGCAGGGGGCCAGTGGAAATGTGGGGGCCCTAGGGATCCTCGCCTCGTGGGGTTTTAAGAAACTGAGTTCACACAAAGCAAAAGGAAAAAGAAAGAAAGAAAGAAAGAAAGGAAGAAAGAAAGAAGCCGAGTTCACTACTCCCATCTCTGCTCCAGGGAGACTGGGTTTGGTTGAAGAAATTCCCCGGGGATCACATAGCTATCCGCCCAGCAACCAAGGCAGCCTTCTCCAAGGTGAGAGTGGGCCCTCCTCTCTAAAGTAGATTTCTACGCTCTTTCATAATACTAGTTCTTTCTTTTGGTGTGCTTATCATGATTTGTCATTGTAGGTTCAGTGTGGGCTTGCGTATTTTTTTAAAGATTTATTTATTTATTTTAGAGAAGGGGGGGCAGAGGGAGAGAGAGAATCTCAAGCAGACTCCCCGACTCAGGGCTCGATCCCACGACCGTGAGATCATGACCTGAGCTGAAATCAAGAGTCGGATGTTCCACCGACTGAGCCACCCAGGCGCCCCTCTAGCGTATTTCTTATCTGCCTCACTCACTGGACTGCAAGCTAAGTGAGGGTTTCCCCTGCCCCATCATTGCATGTTTGGCACCCGGCACAGTGTCTGGAACGTTAGAGAGACGTAATAAATGTTTGTTGAATGAATGACAGAAAGTTAAAAAGGGCTTGAGCGACGGGGAAGCTGGCAGGCAAGCAGTAGCCTGGCTTATTCTGGTCCTTACATCACGCAGCCCTTGCCTGGCCTCCTTCCCTGAGGCCTCGACCGAAGCTCTGTGGCCACAGCTGCAGAGTGACTTAGGGTCAACCAGCTAAATCACCATTTAATGGCAGGCATCTCAGATGAAAGCAAGCCCCTTACTGGACCGAAGGACGGCCGTCACCTGCTAGCCCGTTTTCCCAGGCTGCCCAGACTGGGGGGGTGGGGGGGTGCTGTCCTCCTCTGGGACCACAGCTCGACTGCTCAGTCGCTCCTTCTCTAACCTGGGGAGGCTGGGAGTCTCAGACATTTCTGACACAGTGACAGAACCAAGCAAGGCGGCCCTGAGCCATCACCCGCACAGCCATTTCTGGTGCTTTCTTTGCAAGCAGTGAGGCTTCTTCCTGGTTCTCTCTGCAAGGGCTGTCACATCAGAAGGGGAGGGCGCTGGTGCTGGGGGCTTCTCCATGGAGTGTTTCCCCCTAAATCCAGGCAGTTCAAAGTCTTACCGGAACCTGCCTGGGTCCTGGTTCCCCCCCGCAAGGTTGTCTTTTCAGTCCTAACTTGAAGCTAAAGCCTGCTAAGCATCTGAACGGGGGAGACGTGATCTGCGGAAGCAAGCTTCTCTCCACGCCCCACGGACCTTTCCATCCACCATTCTTATCCCATCTTCCGAGTTGGGACACTCAGAAACAGGCCTGAATAACAGGTCTCCTCCTCACGTTGCTTCCAGGGCAGAAAATGCCCGTTCACTTTCTCCCTCCCAGCTCCGGGAGCTCCGGCAGGAGAACGTGGCCCTCTACCTGGGGCTCTTCCTCGGCGGCGGCGGCGGAGCGGGTGGCTCGGCGGCCGCGGGGGAAGGCATGCTGGCTCTGGTCTCAGAGCACTGCACCCGGGGCTCCCTCCACGACCTCCTCGCCCACAGAGACATCAAGCTGGACTGGATGTTCAAGTCCTCCCTCCTCCTGGACCTCATCAAGGTGTGGGGGGTGCGGGTGTGGCGGGGAGGACAGGGCAGGGAGCCGCGGGGCTGAGGCCGCCTTCCCTCCCACCCCTCCAGGGAATGAGGTATCTGCACCACCGAGGCGTGGCCCACGGGCGGCTTAAGTCACGGAACTGCGTGGTGGACGGGAGGTTCGTGCTCAAAGTCACGGACCACGGCCTCGGGCGACTGCTGGAAGCGCAGAGGGTGTTAGTGGAGCCTCCCAGCGCGGAGGGTAGGATTCCTGGCTACCCCCCGCGCGCGGAAGCGCATCCCCCAGGATTCCCATTATTTCCAGGGTCCCTCCACCCCTCCCTCCGCCTTCGCATGCTCTCCATTCCACCGCCACTGGACGTGGCTGCCACCACGGAAAAGGTCTTGTGACTTCTGAGATGCGAAGGGTGGGCTCCGTGATTGGGGAGGCGGGGGCTGGCTGGGGGCGTGGCTTGTGCCTGAAGGGCGGAGTCTCCTCTGAGCTCCGCGGGGCCTAAAGGGTGGAGCCTATTTGTGAGGACCCCGCTTTCTCTGGGACCCGCGTTGGTTTTCTGGTAGTTTTATCTGGGGGGTAGCTGCTGGTAGCGAGGCCAGACTCCGCCTGGGAGTTGGTGAGTGGGTGCGAGCCTGGCCTTCCTGGTTAGGGTGGGGGTCTGTCCCCGGCGCCCCCAAGGCCCTCCGCTTGCCCACGCCCCCTTCCCCGACCCCAGACCAGCTATGGACAGCCCCGGAGCTGCTTCGCGACCCGGCCCTGGAGCGCAGGGGGACGCTGGCTGGTGACGTCTTCAGCCTGGGCATCATCATGCAGGAGGTCGTGTGTCGCAGCGCCCCCTACGCCATGCTGGAGCTGACTGCCGAGGGTACGCCGCCCCTCGCCTGGGCCTTTGGGCTAAGAAGGCAGGCTGCCGTTAGGCAGAGCCTCGCCAGCGCCAGCCTCTTTTCCCGAAAGTCCGGAGCTGAGGCTTAATTATAGGGGCCTCCCTTATGTGGGTCTGAAGGGTCAGGGCAGTGGAGAGCCAAGCATCGGGATGGACGGGGCGGCTCTTAGACGTGCAGACTTCAGTGGTTGCCTCTGTCCTCGTCCTGGCCCCAACCTGCTCCTCCAGCTGGGGCAGCAGGCTCTTCTCTGGTTCTTAGGTGCCCCAGGGAGGGAGCAGTGTCGGGAGAAGGGGGTGTAGAGCAGTCGGATCTGGTTCAGATCCTTGATCACCCCAACCTGATCACCCCAACCCTCCCTCTTGTTATGTGCAGTAGCTGTTAGGTTCTGCCTATCACCTCTTACTGCCCCCTGTCCCCCAGGGTTCAAGATCTTTTTGTTGCTCCAGCAACCCCCTCCTTCACTACACTTTCCCACCTACCGAAGCTCTGATTTAAAGAACCCCCGTCCAGTGTCCCCATCTTGAGCTTCAGCAATCAGGCCAGAGTCAGAAGTGGCTTCTCTTGGCCCCCTTGTGCCTCCAGAAGTGGTGCAGAGGGTGCGGAGCCCCCCTCCACTGTGTCGGCCCTCTGTGTCCATGGACCAGGCGCCCATGGAGTGCATCCAGCTGATGAAGCAATGCTGGGCAGAGCAGCCAGAACTTCGGCCCTCCTTGGACCGCATCTTCGACCAGGTCAGGGACTGGGATTGGGGCTAGGGCTGCGCTGGTCACGTGTCAGCAACCTGGGGAGGCTTCCAGAAGGCAGGCCAGCAGGATCTCTGATCTCCAGGCTATCTCCCAAAGGGGTAGTCTGAGGACTGGGATTAGGTGGGGGCAGAGTGAGAACAGGGGCTATGGAGGCCTTTGGAGCGGGAGACAGAGCTCTGGGTGGGAGAAATGTTTGGCACAGGGTGGCAGAAAGACCCTTGGCCTGGGAGTCCAAAGGCTGGGCTGGTTCCAGTGCCTTGACAATTACTAGCTGAGAGTAGCTGACCTCGGAGAACCCCCATTTCCCGTCTGTCTCCTGATAATGCGTGGAAACAGAGGGCCTGGCATCCCCGGGGGGTAGGGGGTGGTTGATGAGTAAAAGATGAACAGGGAGGGGGGGTGGCACACAAGGGTCACGGCAGCCCAGGTCCCACCAGCTTCCTCCTCCTGCTAGTTCAAAAGCATCAACAAGGGCCGGAAAATGAACATCATTGACTCGATGCTGAGGATGCTGGAGCAGTACTCCAGTAACCTGGAGGACCTGATTGGGGAGCGCACAGAAGAGCTGGAGCTGGAGAAGCAGAAGACCGACCGGCTGCTCACGCAGATGCTG